ATACATACATACATACATACATACATCATACATACATACATACATACATGGGTGTAAAGAAAAACTCGTCTTGCCCTGTGAGCGAGGCCGAGTAACTCGGTCAAGTCCGAGTGGACTCTGGCAAGTCACGGCATAACGTTCAAGTGGCCTTCTAGGTAAGCACATCAGCCTACTTACCATCATGGTGAGGTTTTGAATCCCCCAAAAGCACTGCTTTTATTACCTTACACTGAGGAGACTTAGTGTTTTTTTAAGAAGTGGAGTTCAAAAAATGAGCCATCCTGGGGATTGAACCGAAGATCTAGGGGAAAAGAGGCATCCCAAGAGCATGAGACCTAACAACATGACAATGAATGTTTGTTGTTAAAAATGGGGAAGGTATACAATATATATTAATTTTTCTGTCTTTATTTTTAGTTTTTTAACTCAGGTTGGACACAGGCTGGATTCCGTCGAGTTACTCAGACTAACCCGAGTAACTCACCTCAGCCAAGGTCCGAGTACCCGGATCATTTTTCAGCACACTCCATAACAGGTTATGTACACAGATAACAGTGCATAACACTTTCATCAATGTATGCACAGGGTTATACGCTATGTAATATTGTTAACAGTGTATCTAAACTATCTACAATGTACGTGCACTATATACAATGTATAAAACCGTTAACAATGTCTAAGGAGAACTAGTCTAAGAGTTAAGAGAACCATTGTCATTAATCGATGGTTGAAAGAACTATATGTGTGCATATCAGAGCTACAGGAAGTACACTATCATCCACATGTTAGAGAGAGTACTAATGCACTAAATAGCTTGCATTCAGAGTCTAAAATAACTTAATTTCCCAAGAAGCATAAACAATTAAACCAATTACGGACATATGATTCACTTTCCAATTAGAAATAAAATAGACAAATCGGGCCCCTTGAAGACTGAATAGAAACGCAAAAAAAAAATTCACAGAATTCCAAGAAAATAAGATATCATAATACTTCAAACCTAATCTGCATTTTTTACAACTTAAAGCAATCATGGAAATCCTAGATCAGGACACAGTCACCGAATGAATCACCACAATTTTTCTGTGATCTTTGGTGATCTTCTGTAGATAAATTACCAAAATTAACCTTTTTCTATTGCCCAACCAAGCTCTATTACCGTCCAGATTTGGTGTTATGTACACACAAGCATTGGGCTTGCCCATGTTTGCTGTTCTGCTATTTGCAAGGAACAAATATATTTCAGCTTGAACTTGGATCTTTATTACTTGTCTTCATAGAAATAAAATTGAACTTGAAGTAGCCAGTAATTATTCCCAGTAGACTCCTCTCACCTGACTCACTATATGTAATTCTGATATGGACGGTATCAGGCTTCATTTTATATTTTATAGCTTGCTACATATGTATGTACAAGATCAGAACGACAACAGTACCCATGTAGAGAAAAAGAAATAAATCCCTTCAATTACAAAGACCTACACAAATATGAACTTATATCAATACAATATACATTTATTAAAAAAGCCAGTATTCATGAAATATTCATTCATATACTATTGATTTCATACCCAGAAGCTAGAGGTTTCAGAGCATACATGCGCCTAAATATATCAATGATCAACCTCGATAAATTTTGTTTAAGCAGAACATAATGGTGTTCAGAAGAACAACACCCACTTCGTAAGTCAAAGGTCATGAAACAAATACTACATTTTTGTGATCTAAACAGCATTGCTTTCTCTAGCCTGACACTTTGCATAGGCACAAGAAAAATGCAGAGTCATCTTTGTCACTCCAACAGATAAGGAAAGACACGGTATCCAGAAGTAGACCTATGGTTGGTCATCAAGGCAGACGGCCCGGTAAATATGGACTTTGCTTTTAGGCTGTATTAATGAGAATAAACAAGGCACAATTATCTTTGTCACGCCAATAGATAAGGTTGGGCATAAGAAAGATGTTAGCACAGTTATCTTTTCCATAGGTAGACCTATGGCTAGTCATCAAAGCAGCTGGTCTGGTCAATATAGATTTGGTTCGACAGTTAATACATATGACTACAACCCATCTTTGAACATTTTTTAAGGCGTCAGATGCGACTTCTGAATTCTCAACAACAACTCATTGCATGAGATGCTAGCACGTCTTTCTGCTTGAGGAAATTTTGGGAGTGATTCTATACACGTTGAAAACCTAATATCATGCGTAAGGCTATACAAGATTGTGGATAGGAGTTCATCATCAAGAATAATATCCTCAGATGCCATTTGATGGAGAAGCCTCACAACTTCCTCCACATTGCCCTCTTCACCAAAATCCTTCAGCATTGAAGCATATATGATAGCATTTGGAGAATAACCATTGCAATCGTGATTTCCAACAATCCTTTGGCCTCATTCATTTGTCCTGCTTGAGATAGCATGCATATTACCACAGCATATGTTCCAAGATCAGGTATCAAACCTCTTTCAGTCATGTCCTTGAGTAATTGTTTTGATGCTTGGAGATTCCCCACTGTACTGGACGCATTAATGAGGACATTGAAGGATATGACATCAGGTTTGCAGCCACCTTCCATCATCTCATGAAACAAATGCATAGCTTGCTCAAAATCACATCTACACGCTGCATCTATCAATGCAGTATAAACAACTTGATTGGGAATATGCCCATGAATCTGCATATCATGCAACAAATTATTTGCGGTCTCAATCTTGCCTTTTTTGCAGAATCCATCTATCAAGATGGCATATGTTTGTGAATCTGGTTTGAGTCCTTTGTCAATCATTTCGTGATGGAGCTCCATAGCTTCGTCCATTTTATGTACCTTGCAAAACCCATCAAGCATCGTATTATAAGTCACCAAACCGGGGACAATTCCTTTCTCTGCCATTTTGTTCAATAGTTCTTTTGCATCATCTACACGGCCTGTTTTACAGAGTCTATTGATAAGAATATTATATGTCACTTTGTTTGGCTCTGCACAGCCATTGCTAGAGCTTTTATTTGTGGAACTCATATGGGCAAATGGTTCAGGAATGGAGCTTCCCTCAAGCATAAATTGGAAAAGTTTTAGAGCATCGTCCACCTTATTAATTCCGCAAAAGCCTGCCAATAATGTAGGTAATTACATTAGGAGCTATTCCACTTTCACTCATCTGGCCTAGATACTCAATCGCATCAACCATTCGGCCTTCTTTAGAAAACCCATTAAATAGAGCACTATATGTTTCAACGCTAGGCTCTTCACCATTTTTTATCATGGTATCCACCAAATCCATAGCTTGTTTGGATTTTCCATCTTTGCATAACCCATCAACTAACACAGTATACGTGATAATATTAGGATGAAGCCCGACTTGTAGCATGTTATTAAAAATTTCCGTAGCTTCCCGCCACAATCTTTTCTTGCAAAGTCCATCAATTAGAGAATTATAACTTACTACAGGGGGTATTCTCTTTTCTAACATTTGACAAAATAATTCCAATGCGTCATCAAGCAAACCCTTTTTGCAAAGGCCATCCACGAGAACACCATATGTGACAGCGTTTGGGTTTAGGCCATAGTGGTACACCTCCTTCAACAAAGCCATTGCCTCCTCTAATCTCTCATCCTTGCAAAGACCATCTATCAGTGTGTTATATGTCACAATATCAGGACAACACTGTCTCTTCCACATTTCCTCCCATAATTCCAACCCTCCTTCCACCTTATTTGCCTTGCATAGCCCATCTATGAGAATATTATATGTAAAAACATCCGGCTTCAGGCCATTTTGGTACATCTCCTCTAACAAAGCCATTGCCTCCCTTATTCTCCCCACCTTTCTAAGACCATCTATAAGTGTGTTATACGTGATTACGTTGGGGCGACAGCCTCTCTTCCCTATTTCCTTGAATAAGGCCAGGGCATTGTCCACATTATTGAGTTTGCAAAGCATGTTTATGAGAGTGCTATAAGTAACAATGTTTGGGTTTATGCCATTGTGGAACATCCCCTCAAACAAAGCCAATGCCTCCTGTGCCCTCCCTTCCCTGCTAAGACCATCTATGAGTGTTGAATATGTGACAATGCTTGGCTGAGTTCCTCTCTCTCCCATTTCTTTGAATAAATCCAGGGCTTCTTCCACACAATTGGTCTTGCATAGCCCGTTTATGAGAGTGTTATACGTGACAACATTAGCTGAAAATTTATTATTTTCCATAGAATGGAAGAGCTCCATCGCCCTCGCAACTCGCCCCTCCTTGCACAATCCTTTCATCACCACAGTCAACAGGATAACATTGAGATGGTAACCCAGCTTTTGAATGAGACCCACAACCCCAAGGGCAAATTGGGTTCTTTGGATTTGGCAAAAACATACGACTAACTTGTGCATTACATTAAAATCAGGTGAAATTCCATATTCAGCCATGGTTTTATATAGAGACAGTGTCAATTCTGGTTGGCCAGCTCGTGAGAGAGATTCCAACAAGAAATTGCATGTGTAGAGGGAAGGATTGAGAGTGGAATGGAGAAGCAAACCTTTAAAGAGAGAGGCGGCCTCTTCCAACCAACCATCGGTCTCCTTTTCACAGCAATGCCGAATGCGCTTCTCTATCTCTTCCCTCAGTTCAAAAGAATCCGATTTCCTTCTCTCAACAGTAGAGGAAAATCTAGTGCAGAAACCACAGTTGAGAGAGAAAAAATAGCAAGTGGAGAGATGGTGGTGGTGATATAACACATAATGCGAACGATATGCTGCAAGGGTGTAACCCATTGGCATAGATTATTAGCAATCTGAGCAGAGTGATAATAAATGGCTCTCATTTCATTTCAAAAAGAAAGAAAGAGAGATGAATCATGGAAAGATAATTCAATAAATAGCCCTCATTTCATCACAAAAAGAAAGAGAGATGGATAATCAAAGGGTGAAACGAAGTTCAACAATCAAAAAAATTGGTGAAACGAAGTTCACTCAGGTAGAAATCCAGGGTTGAGAGAGACAGGGAGAGTGCTCAGAAGTAAGTATCTTCGACGAAGAGATTGTTGGCAAAGCTCAGAGCCACTTCATCTCTCCCTAAAATGCCGCCATCTTCTTGACGTTGCTCGCGATTACACAGGGAAAAGAGGTGCAGAGGGAGATACCATTACACAGGGGAAAGAGCCACACAGAGACAGGGGGAAGATCTATTCATGGAAAATTATAGGGGAAAGTATAGAAGGAGACATTTACTAACATTAATTTTGAACGTGGACTCGAAAATAGGTGGCCGCTTTTATGCGAGCTATAAATGTTTTCGAGCTTTGGGACACATTGACCGCATGTATCAAAGTTAAATGATCTCGTTGTATAATCTGAGACATCAAAAGTTAAATGATCTCGTTGTATAATCTGAGACATCAATTCTTTTTGTTTGCCCCCAACCCTAATATTATTTTTCGTCTAATTACCTCTAAAAATAAACTGCAGTTTGTATAGAGTCTACTTTTAAATGGTATCAAGAAATGTGATTTCAATATTAGAAATATTTGTGATAGCTTTAAAATAAAATTTTATCTTACATTATGAAACTTCAAAAATATAAAACTTGAAAATCTTGAAAATTTACAGCCCAAAAGTGTGTCCCAAAACACACTATTTCCAAAATCTGAATTTTTTTTTTTTTTTCTCATGTTCATACATCTTGATGTCGAAATAATAAATTTGATTGTATTTGGGCATCAAAACAACCTCATCTAGTAAAATTTTTTAGGTAGGCTCTAATTTGATTGTTTTGAGCTTCGGCTCTATATAAACATTTCCCTTAAAAATATTCAATAGATTTAAAAAAAAAATGCCCGTTACTTTCACTCCTCTATTTGGGTAACGTAACTATTTTGGATCGCGGGATTCTCTCTTTGCCAACACTCTCCCTCCTAAACTAAAAACCCATGTCACTCGCTTACTACCTTTGTCTAACTCTCTCTCTCTTTTCGAGTTCCCATAATGTGGCTTGGAATTTGGTCTAGCACACAAGGTAAGGGACTGCATTGAGTTCGAGTAAGTTTTTCTCAGGCTTGTAATGCGGTCCGGCGCACACGGTATTGAACATAAATTTTTGCGATCCAAATTTTTGTGCTAGGCCCCAAAAAATATTTGATTCGACACAATGTGTGTATCGGATCACATTACCAACCTTAACCTAATTTCTAACTGGTCCAGCATATTGGGTGCTGGACTGTAAAAATCTTAGTTCATACCTAGAAAGAGAAAAAGAGATGATGGGTAGAGAGAAAAAAAAAAAGACAGAGAATGAGAAAGAAAAATGGGTTTTTACTTTAAAAGAGAGAGTATTGGGAAAGAGAGTGAGTGACCCAAAATTGAGGAGAAGAAAGTAAAGGCATTTTTATTCTTCTAAATCGATTGACTTTTTGTCTTGTGGGTAAATACAAAGAAAAAATAGTATTGAGGTTTAGGGTGAGATACAAAAAGTTTTGAAGTAGGCTGTCTATAAAATTGAATTTAGGGGGTATCTATAATTTTCTCATTTATTTAGATAACAAAAATCATAAAAATAAAAAAATAAAAAATAAAAAAAACCTATTCCTTTCAAAACCTCGTCCATACCAAATTTTTGTACTACTAGAGAAATCCATGTGCTCTGCAAGTGATTTTAATTCTTTGAAAATAAATTAGAAGATTTTTTAATAAAGGTTTGGTTTACGTATCGTTGCAATATTAAACAATGAAAGTAAGGTGCACCATCAAAATTTATCACAAGATGTAATTTCGGCATAAAAAATTCAAAGGATGTCCATGTAATCAATCTTCATCTTTAATTATAAAACTTTAGATTCAAAAAATGGTTTAAATCAACTACATCTGTAGACATGCGAAAATATTGAAAATGGACGATCTAGCTAATGTGTTGTAAGATGCACTATTTTTGGTGCTCGAAGTCTTTTTTCTTTTCTCTATTGTGATGTGAAGATCATCAATTATTAGAGGGTTTTCGAACTTCAAAATAGCCTTTTACGATGGATTTTTTAGGTGCACCTTAATTCTACATTTTAAAGTTGCAACCTTATATTATTTTTTTTAATAAACTATGGTTTTGTATATTAATTTTAAGTACAATACTTCTTAGAATAATGCAATGCGTTATGTTTGTGGTGTTGATTTATTGTGTTGCCATCTCAACTTGTGTAATGAGTTTACATGTCAACTATAGGTAGCTCTAGAGATACTTAGGGAAAGGTAATAGTGAAATTTTTTTGTTATAAGAATATGTAAGTACAACCTATATAACTTATATCGAGTCAAAACAAATGTAACTTAGTACCTTTTATAATTTGACTGATAAGTTGATATTATAGCTATAAAGGAATAAATAATTGATTATGATTCAAAGTTGACATTCAATTAACATTAAAATTAAGTTAAGTATTGCTTAGAACAATACAACATGTCATTTTTGTGGTGGCATTATATTGTGTTACTCACTTAACTTGTGTTATTATTTTAAAAGAAATTATCCGATATATCCATCAAAGATGCTTAAATTTCAAAGTTACTTTCATTTTACATTTAATACGTCTATATCCCCATTTTAGGTATTTTTTGTTTTTATTCCTGTTCTAACCCTGTGGCTATGTAAAGTCCGTGGCGACCAAAACCGTCACGGCTGTGTCAAGTTCATGGCAACCAAAAACGTCACGGCTCTACAAAACTGTGGCGCCTTTTAAGCTTGCCCTATCTCACTCTCTCCGCCTCTCTTCATTTCGTCTCTCCCTCTCCCTTCTGCTGCCCCAGCCATACTCGTCTCCCTCTCCCTTCTACTGTCCCAGCCCCGACGCTTCTCCCTCTCCCTTTTGTTGCCAAGCTGAAGCTCTATGCCCACACAAACGATCACTTCACTGAAGCCCTACACCTTACGCCCGCTTGGCATGCAAAAAATGGGACAAAAGCATAGGAGGAAACCTCGGTCTAGTGCCACGACTATGTGAAGTCCATGACAACCGTCACGGTTTTTGTAGATTCGTGGCGGTTTGGTCGTCATGGACTTAACATAGCCGTGACGGGGTTAAAAAATGTAAAAAACGAAAGAAGAAGAAGCCAAAATGGGGATATAACGTAAAATGAATATAACTTTGAAATTTAAGCATCTTTGAGGGATAAATCTGATAATTTCCCTTATTTTAAAGAAGTATGAATATTACGTAAGCCACTACTTCGAGCAGAGCAAAACATCATTTTTGTGGTGCCACTATGTTGTGTTACTTATTCAACTTATGTAAAATTTATTTTAAAAAAGTTAATATGAATGTAAAATTTATTTAAACTAGACATCATGTTTCATTATAGAGTTTAAAGGGGTATGTGCATTGGATTGCTTAAAAATTACAAAACTGGAAGTTCTTTATTATAATCTTGTTAAAAATTATTTAAACTAGAAATTTCTATAAGCCTAGGCTTTATGAAAACAAAATAAAGCCTCACCTCAAAGCCTCACCTCAAACCATTGTCCAGAAAGCATTTTCAGCAATGGAAATCTCCATGATGGCTCTAAAACCAATTTCCAACACTGACAATAAATGTTTTTTTTTTTTTTAAAAGTATAGATCTTGCGAATATGTGAACACTTATTTTTAAGATGAAATGGATGGTCTAGATAATTAATTACAATTTACATTTTTTTGGGGTTTGAATTCTTATTTTTTTTTACAATCATAATGTTCAAGCCGAGATGATCGGTGTCAAAGTTTTCCAAATGCTTGAATTGCAATTTTCTATGAGTTATGAAGTGAAGCGTTACTTATTTTGATAGGGCTGCAACCCTGGCAAACCATTTTCCATTAATTATTTTGTAGCAGTGTAATGTATCATTTTATGTTGGCACCATGTTATGTTACTTGTTTAACTTATTTCATGTTATATTTGAAAAGGGCATGTGCATTACAAAATTTTTATTGTGGTTTTGCTAGGCTATATTATAGGTCTATTTTTAATTAATGTTATATTTTTTAAGTCAATTAGATTTATTAATCAATTTTGAAGAGTTTGTTTTGACTAAAAGTTATAATTTATTATAATTTATAAAAATAATTTAAATATTTGCAAGTTATTGGTTACAAGTTACAAATATGTATTTGTATATGTTGTAGTAATAATTTACAACTTATAAATGGAAATTTTGATATTCTTATATTATATCTTTTTAATTCACGTGAGATATTCCGACATTGGCACATAGTATTAATCTTAATTTTAAATTGGGTTGTTGTGAATATTGTTCATTTCTCTTCTATTTTTTGCTTGCTATTATAATGATTTGTTTCATAAATGTGGAAATGCTCCTCTCTTTGCTGCAAATGAGTTAGCCATATAGATTATTTTTTCCGCATTTTCTAGTAGCACGGTGTAACCTTTTAATTCGCACATGATAAACTAATGCACATGTTTTGTAAGCCTATTAATTCATACATGACAAACTAATGCATATGTTTTGTAGAAGCATGAGGCATATAAAGAAGTAAAAATAATAATAACAAAAAAACACATAAGAAATCAAAATTCTATTTTCCAACAAATATTATTAATTTGGAGTTACATGCTTTTAAAATGACGTATCTTGGAATAACATACTTTTTGTTGTGATAAGTTTTTTTCTCCTTTTTTTTTATAAACCTTTCAAGCATTTATCTATATAATTTTCACCGAATTTGTGATGCTAACATTCAAAAGATAAAAGTTGAAGATAAGTTTGTTTAACGAACAAAGGTTGGTGATTAAAATGGAGGATAAAATATGTTAAGGCATTGGAAGAGACTAAAGAGGTATATTGATTTTAAGTATTTTTTGTTTTATACCATATTAGTTTATAGTTTAAATTTAAATAATACAATAATATTTGAAAAACTTAAATATATTTATCATTGAAAAAATTTGGAAAATTACTAGAAATATACCTAGATTTTCATCTAATTGGAAAAAAAACCATCAACTTTCGACAACTTTTTTTTTCGATTTTGATATTTTTTTTTACCAAAATAGCTACTTTAAGTACCGTAATTACCAAGCTAATTATTACGGTACTTTAAAGGCCGTAGTGCTCACTAGGTCTCTTTTTCCCTAATTTGCCATATCTAACGGTCTTTAAAGTAATGTAATGCCATAATGCTTAGCTTGATCATTACGATACTTAAAGTATCGTAATGCCTAGTCTGCAGTAATCAAAGTATTGTAATACATAGTTTAGTCATTACGATAATATGGCTATTGTAAAGGCTATTTTGATATATAAAAAAAAGAAGCCAAGTCATTACAGTACTTAAAGTAC